CGTGTGTTCCCGTGCTGCCGGTGACTTCTTACTACCTGAGGTAACACTTCTCAGAGTGCGAGCAGACAGTAGCTGAGGGTTATGCTGCAACGGGAGCCTGGGCCATCGAAGCCAGGTGGTCGGGACAGCAGGGTGAGGCCCTCTGCTCTCCTTCCTGAGGGCTCATCCAGGAGCCTAAATAGGAAGAGCAAAAGTTAGACCCTGGAGCCTGCTGAATCGGGCCCAGTGCCACTAATCTTTGAAGTGGACAGCACTGGGTTCTGTCTGCTAAGCAGCTCTGCCTACTTACCAGGAAATAGCTGTCCCGGCTCTCTGTGCATAGCCTTGGGTGGGGCTGAGCTGGCTTGAGGTTCGCCTTCTCTTCTGATTGTGGATGCCTGAGCGAGGGACTTGAGAAGTCTGTGCAGATGGCCTGAAGGATGGGGGTTAATTTCACCAAGTCATGGTAAAAATATAAGTATTTCTGTGATAGAAGGGCTGGACACACATTCCTCTATTTCCTCTGCCTTAGTTCTTGAGACAAAGACCCCACAGAACCTGCAGCTTGCCGGCCAGCCGGCAAGCTTCAGAGAGCCTCCTGTCTCCACCTACCCAGAGCTGGGACCAGTCTTAGGTCCCCACACTTACACAGCAAGTTCTGTACCCACTGAGCCATTCTCCCAGCTCCTGTAGCCTTAAGTAAGCATAAATGTATCGGGGATGGGGCAGGATAGCTCCCAGACTTGCTCTGAGCAGCCTCGCGCCCAGGTAAACCACATGAAAAAGCAGACACTCAAACCTCTCATAGCTCTCTCCTGGTCAGGGTTATTGCCTTAGGAATTAAATTTGGAGATTTGTGGTCCATGTTTTCACTGAATATCTTATGTCATTTGAAGGCCTGTGGTTCACATTTCTTATTTTTCCTGGGTCACTAGGACTAAGTGGAGGTGCCCAGAGAGGTGCCCACACACACTCACAGTGGGACTTTACCCCACAGGCATCCTTTTCCCACCAGTACAGGAGTCTGGCCAGCTGACCAGAGGCATGGGGCCTCCTACGTCACAGTACAGATCCCGGCTGCACAGTGGCACCATGGAGACAGGGAGTGTCCCAGTGTCTTATGGTTGCAGGCTGAGGACAGGAGTCAAACTGAGACAGCGCTGCATCCTCTCTCAGACGTAAAAACAACCCGAGCAGCAAATGCCTTCCACAATTTTTGCCTTTTCCCCAAGTTTCATTCCTTTGGGGATCTGTTGTTATTTAAGTAGAAAAATAAGCAAAGCACTGACATTAGTTGTCCCAGTCAGACTGGGCTCTGCTCTGCTCTCCCACAGGACACAAGGAAGGGAGGCCGGAGCCTGCGAGCTGTGATTTGTTTGTAGTTTTCCGTCTTCATTCAGAGGTCACTTTCCTGCCTCCCACAGCCCTGCTTCCTAGCAGGCTGCTCTGGACTGTGCAGGGGTGGCTCCTCCTGCTGCTTGTGTGGCCTATCCCTTAGGAAACGTCACCTCAAGACAGATCCATCACCAGCCCTCTAGGAGGAAGGTTGCCTGGCTTGAGTCATCAAATGGACACACCTGGCCAGCCTGAGTCCTCATCCTCCCCAGGAGGAGCGGCCAACCCCAGGAGACAGAGGCACCTGGAGGTGACGGAAGTGCAGGTCCTCACCTCTCCTGTCTTCTTCTCCACCTGCAGGTTTTTGACGAGCTGTGGAAGGGCCAGGGGAAGACAGCAGCACAGATCGTGTCAGAGCAACAGCTGGAACTGATGCAGGACCGTGAGGCCCTGGAACAGCTCTGCCAGGCCACCATAGATGGACACCCCCAGACGGTGACTATCTCCCCTGGGAGCAAGGTCTTCCTGTGCAGCCATCTGTGCACAGTTCCTGCTGCAGCCCCAGCCCTGTCAGTCCCTCCTTTTGTGTCAGCACTTAGAAGTCCAAAGAGACAAAACCAGATGAAAGCCCAGACTCTTGTTCCTGTGAGGAAAGTTCCTCACTGGTGTTCGCGCTCTATGGCGCTACTCTAGACAGACACTAGCAGGTCTTAACTCAAGGGGTCTGTCACCCTCCCAGAGCTGTTATTCACGATCTGTCTGTGTGGCCACTTGCACTTCCTCAAGAGGACCTGCTGCAGTGAGGGAATCCACTTCCTCAAGAGGACCTGCTGCAGTGAGGGAAGGGTAGGAAATGCTTCAGGGCTACAGCCTGTGAAGGAGGGAAGATGCAGAGAGGAAAATGATCTGTAAATTACAGAGAGATCCTTTGACAGAAACATGGCTGAAAACCAAGTCATTTTGTGTTTTTCGCATAAGATAGGAAAACCGTGCCAAGTTGCAGGTCCTCCTCCTAGCCCACCCCAGGTCTAATCATATTGTCTGGAGAGATATTTTCAGTGGGGAAAAATTACTAGTATCGCTTTCAGAATAATGCACACCACCTGTCAGCGTGCAAGGACACTGATGGCTCGGTAAAGAGCCCTTGATAAGGAAGATGAGCCCACACCATCCCAGCGGTCCCCATCTTCCTGCCCCATCTGCAGTGGCTGATAAGGACACACTTGGTTTCAGACTCGCCCTGCGGCACTCAGGCACACTCCCTGCCAATCAGGACCCTTGCGGAGGGAGGCCAGCACCACCGTTATTTGATGTCGCTCAGCCCCTCCTGCCCTTACCACCCCCTACCTGCTACAGCCCTCTCTGAGCGAGCTGCCATCCCAAAGGTTTGTTTTCTAAGGAGCAGTTCTTGTTGGCAGGGAGCCGGGGCGCCTGCCTAGTGGCATTGGAAAACTTGAGAGGCTTCCCTGCCTGATTAGACCCAATGCTCACCACAGATGCCCGGCTCAGCCACGCCCACCCCAGAGGAGATCATTTGTGACCATGGCTCCCTTGTTCGCTCTAAGCAGAAGCAGAGGAACCAGGTCCTTTCTGACCGGAGCTTAGCAAGATCTCAGAATGTAATCCCCTCCTCATTTTACATCTTACATGAAGGGAAGAAAGAACATGAATTTAATTTGCAATCAGTGGCAACCTTGCAGATTCTTGGTTGAGTGTCTTTATTTTCACTGCCTACCTTCTGTTTTCACAGGTGATGGATGTGAAGAAAAGGAACCCCAAAGCTATAAATAAGCTGATTGGGTTGGTCCGGAAAGCAAGTCTCAGCCGAGCAGACCCAGTGCTGATAAAGGAAATACTGGAGAAGAAGCTGTCATTGTGAGATGTGGTGAGGTCCCTCTGCCCGAGGGAGGACAGTGTGGAGCCCGTGAAAGCCGCTGTTCGTGTGGGTGCCATTGGTGTCTCTCAGTTCCTGGACACTTGTGTGTGTCCTCTGAGACCCAATGGCCTGAGAGGGAGCCGGAGGAAATGGTTCTGTGATGGTGGCAGCAGTGACCAAAGGTGAAGTAGATCTAACAATAAAGCTGTGTCTCGGCCGCAGAGGCCAGTGAAGGCTTCCCAGGAGTCAAGCACTGAAGGCCGACAGACTGAGACGGCTGGGTGGATACAGTGTGTGTGCAGACCTGAAAGTGGGTTTGTGGAGAGGAAAGCACAGCAGAACAGACAGACACCAGGTAACACACTGCTCAGGCACGAGGTGGCAAGGAAGGTGTTGGTGCCCACTCACCTGAGGGAGTGCAGGTCCTGCTGCACTGTCCGCTCCCAGTGAACTAAAGTGACACACGTCTTCAGATAAGTTTAATGAGCAAAATATATGCTGAAATAGCACATAAAAATTAACTTCCACTCCAGAGACTGTACAGTTTACAACGTGATGCTTTAGGCCCAAAAAAAGATCAGAAGAGAGATCTGAAACATTAAGTTTTTTACCTGGAAAGAATAAGATTATAAACTAATAAATCATAATCTTGACCTTTAACTCTTGAAGTACAGCTGACAGTGGTGATGAAGGCCCATTGCCTTGACCCTATTCCTCCCTCTCTGGAGTCTGGGTGCCCTGTTTCTTACATGTCTGGTACCTCAGAACACCACACTCTGGAGTCTGGGTACCCCAAGTTTCTTACATGCCCAGTACCTCAGAACTCCACCCCCCCCCCCTTCTAATGACTAGTTTTTCAAATGTTTTTAGAATTACTTGTCAAACTGACAGCAAAGTGGTGGAGAATGGGAACCTTGGGATTCTCCAGCTTGGTAAGATCATTGCTGGGGGGCAGCTGAGGAACAGGGGAGAGTGGACACCCCGCCTCCATCACCAGAGTGACAGCTTCACGACGGAGGAGTGAAGGAAAGTGACCCCTTGCCCATCCAAAAGCTGAGATGGAGCGGACACCAATTCTGTGGCTTCTTTCTGACAAGCAGGAGATGAAGTTTAGAATGTTACTCACCCAGGAAGCCATGGGCCCCACATTGTGTTGTCCTGATGCTGGCTGTTAAAGTGCTTTCTGCTAACCTCTCTACGAGAGAGAAATAGGGCCCCTGTTGCTCTCTAAGCCTAAGTTCCTGTGGCCAGAACACTCAGATCCGAATCCAGCTGGACCTTTATTTCATAAAGAACATAAGGTTCAGTTTTACAACTTCCATTTTTATCAAAGGTTCTGGCTTGGTCATCAACCCTTGCAGGAAACAGTGATGAAGCTGACATCCTGGGCTCACTTCAGTGGGTGGTAGGTAGAAGTAGTTTCCAAAAATGATTTTGTCAACTGAAAAGTGCACGGAGTGAGTATTCCCGGAGGAGACACCATCTAGCTCTGACAACCGCCACATCCCCTTGTTGTCTTTAAACCCCAAACCAGGCTTTAAGAGGTCACACACAGCACAGCTACCAAGGAAAAGCCAAGGCCAGCTCTGCCTGGAACCTGACGAGGACTTTCCTTTCTTGCACAGGCGTGGATGTAGTCTGGACCAGTTAGGGGAAATCTCATTAAAATATATGAATTGGCACCTTAGCCAAGGCTACTGCTGTCTGTCAGTGGAACCCACACACCTATAGCTGGATGTGTGACTCGGAAGCATGACTGGGAGGGGAAAGTGCTGGGAACTGATGATTCCTCAGCCTCCTTCCCAGCCTCCTCTGCCTCCTCTAGGCCCAAACCATGGCTTGCGGATGGTCTCCGTGGGACGCTAACAGAATGTACGTTTATCACAGATGCAGCTTCCTGCACCCCTCCCTTTGTAAAATGGGCTACTAGTTACATTCTGGGTCATCTCTGTTTAACACCAGCCTTCTGCACTTGCTAGGTCTTGCTAGAGCTTTTGTTCATTTCTCTCAAGGCACAGATAGAAAAACCACCAGTATTCTACTGAGGTGAGTACCGTCCATGCCCCTCTTAACTATTGATCATCTGGAAATAGCCAGGAAAGGCTTGAGCATGCGCCTCTTCCAGTCGGTCATTCTGGTACTGTAGCCTGTGGCACGGTCCACCGTTTATATTGTATCTTTCAATTAGGTTGACTGTTTTCCTTTCGTTATGACTAAATTCAATCTAGAAGGTCATGTAATTTTCCCATTATCAGACACAGTGTGGATGTGGCCACTGGGCTGCTTTGGCAGGTTCTAGACAGATGTACCTGGGAGCTGCTTTCCCATAGGTGAGGAAGCAGAAGGCACTGCCTGAAGTCCTCTCTCACTGGCTCCCCAGGTCATGGTTGAACAAGAGTCTTTAAAAAGTTCATCAGCACCAGATCCCATGTAAAATGTCCACAGGGGCAAAAGAGGCCTAGCTTTCAGTGGTCCTTTTATAGACTTGTCCCAGTAAAATGTACTAAGGACAGACTTGCGTGGCCTCGGCTCAGTGAAATTAATAACCTGCCCTGAGCATTTCCATCACCTTTCAGGTTCTGAAGTGACACAGCTCATCTAAAAACGCCACAAAAGAACCCTGAAATGAATATGGGGACAAAATCCTGTGGCCAGGGTTAACTCACATCTTCAAAGACAAGAGCATCTGCATCAGCAGGTGGACTCCGCAGAGAAATCAGATACCGACTCACCCTGCCTTCCTCTCCCTCGCCCACAGTGCTTTCCCCCTAAAGAACCTTACAGAAAATCTTTTGATGAAGCCCTCTGCATCTAGGCAATTAGCTGCCGAGATAATCTGTCCTCCAGAACAAGTAATGGACTAGTAAATGCCTGGATGTAAGGAGATTTGCTGAGGCAGAATTATCCCAGAAGCTATTCTGAGTCCTCCAAGAGCTTTTTGTGAAGCATTAGGTTTATGACGGTCATTCCAAAAAAAAAAGAAACAGCCAATTCCATTCTCTTCAAATGTCTCTTTCCCTGACAGACGTAAGGGTAGAGTACACACCCTTGACAAGTTGTTCCAAGCTCACACGGGTGTGTGATGGAGATTAGTGACTCACTGACTGGTAGCTGAAATAGGGGCTAAGATGTCCCCCTAACGGTTTAAAGCTGTTGCGGCTTCAGGAAAAGCCAACCACAGAACTGACTTGAAGTTTACAGCAGACTGTACATTAGGCTGTCCTGGGCCAGTGACTTGAAGTGTGTGTGCCGTAATAGCTGCCCTGCATTTCATAAAGATGGCAGGCTTGACAGCCATCTCTGCAAACACAGCTGAACTAGACTACCCTTAAGTGAGAATTGGAGCATGGTCATATTTAACATCATGCTGTGACATGCCCCACCACTCTGGCCAGACTTCCCTACTGAGAGCCACCTGGCATACGCTAATCCTGTCTGGGTAGCCACATCACAACTTTAGACCTCTAAATGGAGCTCGAAGCAAACGCACGTGACAGCCAGGATACAGATGCTCGCTGCCCAAACTGGAGCAACCCAAATCATTCACAGCTCCCGTTTCTAGATTCTGTTCACAGGCTGACATCTTGATGGGCTGAAAACTAAGCACCACATCTAACCCAAATAAAGGCCACTGGCTCAGGACCGTTCCTTGTCACCGAGGACCGTGTCACACAACAGACATCAACACCTCTCTCAGCGGGTCACAGCACCTTCCACAATGATACTAAACCAAATGGAGGCAATCGCACAGTGGCTCTGCCACAGAAAGGAAGTGTTCAATAATAAAACCACCTTTAATTCTTCTTGCAACTGCATGTCATATCTGGGAGATTGTAATTCATCCCATGAAAATGTGTTTTAAACTGAAACTACACTGGATTATCTTTGTTCAAATTTTTATATTTACCTGACGATTTTCAAAATCAGTTTTAACTATCCCTGTGTGCTCGTGTATTTTGAACCATAAATTCCTCCAGCGTAGACCTTAAATCAGACTCTGAATTATAGATCTAGGTTAATGCTGTGATGTTCCAGGAACCCTCTGCTCCCTGTCCCTGCTGTGGTCTGTCAGGCTAGACACGGTGACGCCAGTCCAGGGTCTGTTGCCCCTCAAGCATGGCAGCTGATGACACCTGTCACAGGGACAAGGACATAGTCCCCGGACCATATTTTAAACACGTCAGATAGCTTTAAAAATTCTCCCAAAATGTATTACCAAAAAAGAGAATAAAAAGGTTCAGCTTGTGAACTTTGGGACTAAAATAACCTACCTCACGGCTGCTCCTTCCCACAGAGAGGGGGCTCCTGTCATCACCTGCCTGCGGGAGAGCGGCGTTCACTCAAATCGTCATGACATTGGCTCTTGGCATGTCCATGTCCACACCATCCCTGGCTACTTAGCTCAACTGCACGGGCTTTGAGGTTCTCAGTGCTCCATTCCCAGCTCAGGTTTCTGACTTGCATTTTGTCAGACTGAGCACAGTCCTAAGGGAAGTCTGTAAGGACTCAAACAGATGGAGTTAGAGTTGTCAGGTGAGTTTGCTATCAACATCCTACACCAGGTAATCTGATTTCCTGCCCCTTCACCTGATACTCCGGGCAGTCATCTCTGCCCCCGCCCCCTTTTACCATAAGTGTGCATCAGTACCTCGGGGTAGTGAGGGGGATGACACCCAAAGTCACTTTCCCACAGGCACCTGCCACAGGGGGTGTATAATTAATAAATATGTAGAAAAGGTATAGAGTATAGCTAAGTAGCAGCATGCTTGCCTAGCAGTTTTATTTTTTTAAGGAATAAAAAATGTGGACATGAATACCGATATTTATAGTCATAAAACCACAAGGTTAAAGAACTCCCATTTGCAGATATGGCTTCAGCATTCAGTGGCGTGGCAAGCACAAATAACCAGACCAAAGTGGTGTGTGAAGGGGTGGCAGTTCCTCTGGGAGACCTGTGAGCACGCATCAGGAGGGCAGGAGCAGGCCGGTTTACTGTACCTCCTACACGATGGCACCTGTACCATGACTAGGCAAACCGCTCTTAAGTCAGCAATGTTCCATGGACGGGTATCGGGCTCCTGTTTAGCCTGTGGCATACTCACCCGGCCCAGAGCAGATCTGGGCATTCGTCCCATGGGGCCTCCTTAATCCGAAGCTGTAGGTCCCCAGCAGGTACCTAGCTTCACCAGCTCCCTGGGATCTGTATGCATTTCCATCCGTGCCTCCAGTTAGCAAAATGAAATAACTACCAGTGTTTCTACAGGTTTCAGATAGTATAATTTTATCTTTTGCATTTCAAACTCTGCGCCCCCCCCCCCGCTAAGTCCTCTATAGCTTCACAAGTCAACGTTTCTTTTCATAAAACAATAAGGGTTGGGTTTTTAGTATATGATACCACACTGTTCACCTGATCACATGCCTGAGGTCCAGAGTTTGCATAGTTTGCTTCATTTTGTGCAAATCGTACTATATTAAGGCTTGTGTTTTGGTCTTGATAGAGCAAGCTCTCAAGCAACAAGATAAAAACTCCCCATATTCCAAATTCTTTTTGGGCAGACAGCTGGGGCTGGGGGATTTTCCCACAACATAAGGCAATACGTGTGGAGAGATTGCAAGTCCTAGAAGTAAAATTTGAAGCAGCAGATGAGGTGTACCTGTGTGGCAGGCGGAGCTCCATGCTCCTCTTGCATCTTTCAGAGGGTAGAGAGGGCAGGCGTGCGCATGCCCCTGTGGAGGAGCTTCCTTGAGGCTGCTGAAAAGCTGACCCCCGTCACGGCGTCCAGAGATCACAGAACCTCTGCGCTGTGTGAGCTACAAGCTCCAGGGATGGAAGAACAACTATAAACCTTGTAAAGAGGAAAAACTCAGCAGAAAGACCCACCACGGGGACAGACTTACATTCTGTATAACAAAGGGAGACCCGGCTACAAATCAAGTATTGTCAGGAAGTATCAAAGTGGAGAGTTTTTGATAAGCAGCTTTGCATTTAACATTCAGTTGATGCTATAACCTTATAAAACCGAGTATCTATTAAAATAGTAATATAAAAAGCTAACAGCAGGAGTCCTCAAAGTCCCCCAGGATCTTGTAACACAGAATTGAGTGTTCTTGGGCCAAGGCTGCCAGCTCCTTCAGGAACTCTGGGAAGAGAGCGGCAGCCAGCATGGTGTTCTTCACTGGCAGAGGCAGGTTTGGGGGTGCCCCTGCCACCTTGGTTCTGTTGACCAGGAAGGGCTGAAACACACGTGGAGGGCCATCCGTTAGGGTCTTGTCACTTTCTGTCCTGGAGGCCTCCTGAGTGGGATCTGAAAGCAGAGAGGAGGAGTCTAGGAACTGTTGGGTAACGGGTGTGTGAGGGGGGGAAGAGTCCTGGATGCAGCTCCTCAGCTGCCCAGGTCTCCATGGCGAGTTTGTCCAGCAGATAACAGCTAGCTCTCAGCTTGTCATACAGGACTGCTTACCTAAAATCCTGTACAAGGAGCCTCATGCACAGCTGTGCAAGAACACAGGATTGACAAACTGCCAGCCAGACACTGTGCTGGCTCCCTGAAGACTTGGCTATCTGTGAGGCCAAAGATTAAGGATCATGTGATCAGTCTGAGCAACAGAGCAAAACCCTGATTGGGTGGATGAACGGACGGATGGACGGACAGATCAATAGATGACAGATGAGAGGTAGACAGACAGACAGACAGACAGACAGACAGAGGTTGACTTCCTCCAGTACCTGCTACCACTGGTGTCAGCTGAGTGGAGAATGGACTCATGGGGAATTTACCAAGGACCCCTGTGGCCCTTCTGCTTGGCTAACACCCTAGTGCAGGGGAGTCCTGGTCACCAGGTCACTCCTTAAGCTCCTGGATTCTTCAGCTGCTGCTGTGACCTCAAGGGCTTCCCAGAAACCTCAGCTCCTTCTTGCTGGGTCCTCCAAACACAAGGGTGAGCGATTCCTCCGGACCAGAACTAAAGAAATTATGTGAGGCCCAGCCTAAGAATCTCGTGCGGCCGTCAGGATCTAGGGCAACAAAGGACTGGGGGCCAGCATTTACAGAGCAATGATGGAGCCCAAGTTCTAACGTATCCAACTGATTTGCATTTTCATACCAAATCAGTCCTGGTAATTAAAATGGCCCGATATCCCTGACTTAATTCCTGAGCTCTCCAGCCCTCATGTATTTGTAGGAATTATTTATGCCACCTTCTGCCCCCTACCCAAATGATCTCATTATTCCTTCTAAATCTCTATATTCAAGCTCTTCATTATTTTGGCTGCTTTTTAGAATTCAGCCCCATTTTTCAACACTTCTCAGAGTGTTGCTTAACGGCAGCACTAAAAATTCTTGACATTTATAGGACTTTCCACATCTCACTACTATAGTCTTTAGTGTTAAAAAAAAAATCCTCCACTTTGCTGCTTTAAATATCCTTTTGGATTAAAGCTTATCACAGTTCGTATCACAGAGAACTGGGAATGTTGAGAATCTGTCCCCCCACTACCTCTCACCAGAAATTCCTCACGTGCCGTGGCAGGAGCCTGAACCAGAGTGTGAGCAATGTTGCGGTCCAAAGGGCAGCCTTGGCAGGTTACCCCAGGCAAGTAGCTCCACCTCTCTGCACTTTCAGAAGCTCGTAGAATGCCTCTGAGGATCGGGTGAGCCACTGCGTGTCCAGTACACAGGGGCCACTGGCCTGCATATGGAGGACTCCAGCTGCCGCCAACTCCCCACAGCCCATGCCATTGCTGCCCCACAATCCCTCAAGGCTCCCTGCTTGGGTTCCTGCCCCACGTGCCGGAGGCCGCCTCAGCTTTTCAGCCACACACTGTTCCTTTACTTGTACTGTGCCTCAGTGTCTTCCAGCGTCAAGCCCTCCTGGGCCAGGCTATTCCTGGAGACCAGCAATGCTGTGACCATGAGTGATGAAGGGAATGACCCACATTCCTTCACGCTCCTCCAGAGAGCCTGGCTTTCCTCATTTCCTGCTCTCTCTCCCTCAGACTTGCCCCTCCTCTAAGCCAGGCTTTCTATGGGTGTTTACCTAGCATGACTTGTGAATTAGAAGTGTCCCTGCTAAGGTTTATCTGCCGGCTTGAATCCAAGAATCTTTCTTCATAAGGCAGAAGAGTAGCAGAGGAATCTAGAAACTTGTGGGGACATCCATCAGGCAGTTTCAGCAGCCACTGGGGTGGGCCCAAGCTGACCTGCCACCGGGAAATGGCCTTTCAGTGCATCACAGTAAGTAGACTTGAGTGATCACCAGGTCCATTTCCTTCTCTGTAAGATGTGCTAACATCTCGTGAGCTCAGTTAAAGGTTCTGAATGTAAGGCAGAGCCCAGCACTATTGTTGTGTAATTTTAAAGTATTTGAATAGCCCGCCCTTCCTTCTTCCCTACTTCCTTCCTTCCTTCCCTTCCTTCCTTCTTTCCCTCCTTCCTTCCCTACTTTATGCCTTCCCTTCCTCTCTCCCTTCTTCCTCTCTCCCTCCCTCCCTCCCTCCCCCCCTCCCTCCCTCCCTCCCTCCCTCCCTCCCTCCCTCCCTCCCTCCCTCCCTCCCTTCCTTCCCTGAAACAGTAGCTAAACCTCTGTAGCCAGTGATCTGGTCTGTGTAGCCAGCACAGGGAGTTCTCTGTGCTGTGGTCCTCTTTACTGCTGCTGTTGGGAACATGGATGAGGAGCCTGAGGGAACACCAAGAAGGGAAGAGAATGCGGAAGCTGAACAGTGGAACCACTCTGGCTGCTGTGTTATAAAAGGGCTCAACTGCATGCACACACCCAAAGGGAGAGGCAGGGAGAAGAAGTGCAGATCAACATCAGGACCAGGGCTGGGCTCGGAAATGGTGTCTGAGATCTGAAAAGCTGCTATGGAAGGTGTTCGAGGCTGACTCAGAGGAGGGAAAATGCTGTCTGTTCATCCGGCAGCAGGACTGGGCAGAGGGCACAGCACGCAGAGCTAGAGACCCAAATATGTGGCCCTTTACCTTGATTCTCACTGTAAACTTGTCCTGTGAAAACAAGACCCATGTATGGCAATTATATCACAATGACATCAGAAGCCAGCTCTCTGCTCTTGGTAACGGGAAGCTATCTGTGATTTGGATTTCTGTTGTGGAGAGGGTGACTAAGACAAACCCAATTAAAAGGAAAGTTTTCTTCTTAAGAGAAGCTTCCTACAAATCAATTTCCCTATTGTTGGGATCTTAAAAACACTGATGCCCGCTGACCAATGTGATGACCTTCTATGATAAGAAGTTTATGGGCATACATTCCCTAACCACAGCTGCCAGTCAAGGTGATCCAGGACCAAGCCCTGGTTCAAGTGACATCAGCCCTGCCCACTCCACATATGCTGGCTTCAGTTCATTGTAGTGTCTCCTGTAGATACGTACGTGTGTGTGTGTGTGTGTGTGTGTAAGTGTGTGTTTACATGTACCCCCTTGTTTCTGTGAATGAGGCGGGATACTCTCAGATACTTGCGCCTCAGACCTCTGCCATTTCATATGCCAAGATGGAGCCACTGTAATCCCTGTCCACGTCACAGTGCTGTTTAGCAGTAGAAGCTGACTGTCTAGGAAAGCACCTTACAAATTATACAACAAGTGAAGACAGACCTGAAGCCAGGAGACGGAGCCGCTTCTGTCCAGTGGACTGCGTAGACCACCATTCCTTACCACTCTTCCTAAGCACCCAGAGGCTGGCTTTAGCCAACCCAAAGCAGCAGGCTTGGCCTTGAGTGAGCTCTCGGCCTCAGGGATTTGCTAGGTCCCCACTCTCGGTCCTGGAGCTCCTTAGTCACATATGTTGCTGCCGCTAACTAAGGTGCTGAGTACTGAGAAACATGCTATCACCCCGCTCAACAGGCAGACGTGTGGGGCCGTCTGAGACACCCTGCTGGTGGTGCACAGGTGCACATGAGTGGGCTGGGTTCAGGGTACATCCACACACCCCAAGTCCACGTGTACATGCAGTTATACACAGTCAGTGACAGCCATGATTGAAGCCACTAAGCTCTGACAGTGACCTGTCAAACACAAGGGCAAACGAGGTGTCATTCTCCCACCAGGTGAACAACAGCCCAAGCTTCCTCGGGGCCTGGATTCCATCCTCCCCCATGCAGACATCCTGCCCTCCCTCAGCCTTGCCTTCCCCTTCCAAAGTCTAACAACCTAAACGCTGACCCGTCGCTTTACCAGTGGCCTTTTGAAATCTGCTGTCATACCCCAGTAGTTCACCACAAGCAGAGATATTGCTGTGGCCAGAAAGAGATGAACAAACCCTTCCTTTAAGAGTCAAGGGAAGAGCAGATGTTGCTGAGTGGCAGACTGTGTGCTGAATATGTGGGGCCGTTGGTTTCATCCAGAGCCCCACCTCTAAAATTACATTAATAAACATTAAGACCCAATGAAGCAAAATGGCCAAGATCAAACAGCAAACACACAGAGACCCGATCCAGTAGCTGCACGGCTCTAGTTCTTTTCAGCTTGTTTTAATGGTGCAACTTTCCCCCAGAGTTATGTTTCTGCCTCTCACCAAGTTGCCCCGTGGAAGCCTTGTTCCAACCTGGACAGCTGTGGTACGGCCAGAGCCATATTGGACATGTGCTCATCTGTGCTCAGCAGGGCCTGTGTCACAGCCCAGAAGACCATGGCCATCAGCAGCAGCGCTCGCCAGGCCTAGGGGCCAGCGGAGCTATTCTCAGCTCTCCTCCTCCACACCTCCCTGCCACCCACCTTCTCTCTGTCCTGCCATGACCCACCTAACACCTCCCCCAAGGGAGTGACAGTTGCTAGCCTGTCGGGAATCAGGCTGGGGACAGCGTCCACCTCCTAGAGTCATAAGCACATTTACTTTTTGGTGTAAGATGCTCTGAAAATGGGGCAGGAATGGCCAAAAGATGGTTCCAAGGAGTCCACATAATGCCTCCCTGTGCTCCACAGGTACTGGAGTTTAACAACATCTCCCACACCAGCGCCTTCCCCAAGCCACCTCAACAAGGAAAATGAATGGCCAGCCAGATCCTCGAGGGAGAGTATATGGGCCAGTGCGAGCCAGGAAGCCCTTCATATCTGAGAAGTCTGTTCTAAGATGGACACAAATAAAAACATTCTTTGATGCTTGTAGGGCTAAGATGCCAAGCAAGCAACACCGACAAACACAACCCAGAATGTGGGGGAGTGGGAGCAGGCTAGGATGGATAAGGTGGAGAAAGCTGCCTGACCTTTGGTGAATGCTGCAGAGGTCACATCAGACATGTCCACCCGGAAGAGCAGGTACTGCTGGGCTTGGAGGAGGAGCCCTGGGAAATCTCTCTCCATGGAAGCAAACTGCTCAATCTTGTTTTTCACAGAAGCAAGGACCTGTCAAGAACCACATGAATGATGCTATTGCTCCACAGCGCAATCCCACTCTGTTATCCATGTATCTTTTGGATCCAGCCCTTGTTACAAGGATTGTTACAGTATCAGAAGCTTGCTTTCTTGTTTTTAACTGCATGTATGGTCTTGGTAAGATACCCTCAAAACATCAAACTAAATGAAGCTTTGCAGTTTGTCTAAAATAACCGACACAATCAGCTTAATAGGACAGGGAAGGAAAGCAAATTAATTGGGATGTGGGAATTATGAAAACTAACAAAATCATGAGTGCAAAGAAAAAAGGTGCAAGTGTGTCTATAGCATACCTGGTAGAGAGAGCGGACGCTAGGCTGGAAGACCATGTTGGTGTTGAGGAGGAAGGAGCGCAGGAGTGGCTGTGGGTAGCTGGCCAGCTGGGTGATGATGCCAATCAGCAGCAAGTTGACATGCAGAGAGTTCTCCAGCATATTCTCCAGCTTCGACAGGACCACACTGATGAATGGACCTGCAAAGAGGACACAGTGTCAGGGCTGGCTGGAGATGTGGGGCAAGTCTTAAAGCCGCAGAATCGCCGGGGCCACAGTCACAAACCACCAACACAGAAGACACCCATCCGCTTCTCCCTGTGAATGACAGCTGACATCCTGACTCTACAGCCACCTTAATACTTTGAAAGCCATAAAAAAAACTTTAAAATGCTCAGACAACAAATAATATTTAAAGATTAAAAATGCCTTTCTACACTGGCTTTTCCCGTTAATGTTCAAAATGTGAAATTCACTATCTCTGGGTGCTGTGGACTGTATGCAGATGTAAGAGGCCACTGAAAGTGTCGTAGCCACAAGTCTCCGTGTTAGTGGAGAGTACCAAACAGTGTTTACCAAATATCAAGGTGTGACCTGGACTGTCTATCCTATCCACACACCTGAGAGAGACTGTGCCTTGGTGTCAGAGCACGGAAGAATGGGAAGGGGAGACAGTAGTGAGCGCAGAGGTCCTGGGTGGAGGCCTGACTATTCTGACAACCCAGTATCTGCATTTCCTATTTCAGACCAGAGAGAGAGAAGGGATCTGTCTCAGGAAATGTGGTCCTGGCGTAACACAGAGGTCTCAAAGTCAGAGCCGTAGGATTACAAAAGCAGTTCATAAAATATATCTATTAGCAAACAGAAGCTGTTTCTGCCTCACGTTGATAGCAAGTTAATGTGGTTTATGTGTTGGCTTACTGAGGGCAAGAAAAAATAATAAATCTGGAATTAATAAAATTACTTGAAGATGTGGTAAATTTTTACCATAAATGTGTTCCATTAAGCAAGATCGATGAGACTTCTGTATTTCCCCCAGTGGAGCAGTTGATGATGCCACTGAGCCCAGGCATATTTATAAGATGCTCACATAACCCTTGATAGATAAACATGCCTTATGAAGACTTCACCAACATTAGTGCATCTAACACAAGCACACTTCCAGATGCTTCATGCAGAAGTCTGCCAGCAGCTAGGGGCAAAATCCCATATAAGGACTCAGGCTCTCTGGGAAGTGAGAGCAGACATCTCAGTGCTGACAGCAGTGAGCCATGGGACAAGGCCGTGACCCTGCGTCAGGGTCTATAAGAGGCCCTGGGAGGGGCCATCCCTTCACGTGCCACACCGTCCCTGGGAAGGGTTAGCAGAACTCTTCACCACTTTCTGTTCTGAGTGGGTGATGAACCCTAAGGGGAGAGATGAGCCTTGGAGAATCTTGCCAAACAAACATGAGGGGGATCTACCAAGCGTACCCAGAAACCCCACAGACTGGAATCTCAGTTTGAAAGCAACTAAAGATCGTCCCTTTAAGAACCCCAGAAATGTCACTAGGGTTCTTGAGCCAACACAGTACACTTCTGTCTTTCTGAATTGCTTTCCTTACCCTCTTCTACTCTGGACCAGTTTGGTATGTCTGTCTGTCTGTCTGTCATACCCTCACTCTATCCCCAGCTGCTGACATTTCTGGTTCCTTATCTGTTTCCTTCCATATGAAAAAAGAAGTCTGTTTAGTAAAGACACAGATAGGTTGAACCTTCAACAAAACATGTTTCTCATGTGGCTGTTTTACTCTCACTGACCCCAGAACATTCTTGTCTGCATCTAGCCATCCCACCTACAGACACGAATATTGCTGGCCATCAGCGACAATGGTAGACATGTATAAACCCATCACTACAAGGGGGACTGAGAGAGCTCAAATCCCATGCACGGTGGAAAACAAGGTTGTGTTATTGGTGTCCCACCTGAGTGACAATGCATGCAGTCAAGGCCAACAGATCGCCACTGGGATCCATCAGTGATGCTAACTATACATCCTTAGGCATGAGCAACAAAATATCTACATTAAACTCCGAAGGCTGACCTTATTCTGAGCTAGTTTCTAGCACATCAGAGAAAGCTGCTTAGCAAAAAGCAGTTGCCAGGGCAACCATAAGCATCTGCAAATGAGAAGACTGCAGTACTCTCAGAAAGCCACAGGAAACGGGGGAAGTGGAGAGCAAATACTTTCCCCTCTATCCCTGGGAGGACAGTGAGCTCCTCACCTGCTGGTTTGGACCATGAATGTCCCCCAAATGCCCATGTATTTATTGAGGTCTTCTCATGGCTATAAGAGGGTGGAACAACATTAGGAAGTGGAGCCTAGTAAAAGGAAATTGGGTCACCAGGGGTCTACCCTTGAGGAGGATTCTGGGTGCCTGGTCTTATTCTTTTCTGTTCCTATGATACCATGAGATGGGAAGCTCCTGGGCCACATACAACATACCATGTTGTGCGGTCTTATCATTGGACCAAAGGCAATGGGGCTGAGTGAACGGACTGAGTCCCCTGAAACAGCGAGCTGAAATAAAGTTGGCGACTTCGGACATTTTATCACAGCCCCACAAAGGTGACAGACAGAACACCCAGAGAATAGCTAAATCTTCAGAAAGACTGGGACCTCACTGCCCTTCCTAGCATTCATGTCTTTCCCTTCAAATGCTCAATCTTTTGCCCATAGCAAGTCTGTTCTCGCATTTCTCAATTCTGAAAACAACTTGTCACTGATTCTGTGACTCAGCTCTGCTTACAAATCCAACCAGAGAAACGTCTGAATGTGCGTGTGTGTGATGGGTGTGTGTGCATGTAGTGTGTGTATGTGTACATATGTATGTGGTATGTATGTATGTGGTATGTGTATGTGCATGGTGGGTGTGTGTATGTGGTGTGTGTATGTATGTGGTATGTGTGTGCATATGTATGGTGTGTGTATGTGGTATGTGTATGTATGTATGTGGATTTGTGTGTGGTGTGTGTGTATGTGGTGTGTATGTATATATGTATGTGGTGTGTGTGTGCATTTGTGTGTGGTGTGTGCATGTATGTGGTGTGTGTATATATATGTATGTGTGTATGTATGTATGTGGTGTGTGTGTGCATATGTGTGTGGTGTGTGCATGAATGTGGTGTGTGTACATCTGTATGTGGTTTGTGTATGTGGTATGTGTGTGTGCATATGTGTGTGGTGGGTGTGTGTATGTGGTATGTGTGTATGTGGTGTGTGTGCAAATGTGTGTGGTGGGTGTGTGTATGTAGTGTGTACGTGTGTGTGCACATGGTGTCTGCATTTACATTTCCACCTCCATATCTCTGCCTTAGGCAGAGTCCTTGCACATCCTGTCTGGACTCTAGCAACAATCTTTCTGTCTTAAGAGATTAAAATGACACACATACATCTTTAAAACAATATAAAGCTGCAAAGTGAAAAACAGGTCACCTACTAGAAGAAACCCTTGTTAGAGACTCAAGTATATAACAGAAATGTTATAGGTATATGATAAAGTGATATTGTTGAAAATATTTATTAAGCACATCCTATACAGATGCCAGTGTTCCACGTACTTTTCCTGTACCTGCTTCACTTGGTAAAATCACCCTAAATAAGTGTCCTAATTATTTATCCCACTTAAAGAAAGACAGAATGCTAAATATACACAACTCGGAAATAAAGGCGTTAGGGTGTCAGTTTGTACCATCTGTTTCCAGGGCTGCTAGTCAGCATATCATCTTGATTCCCAGGTGTGTGCATACATATGTATGTATACATGTATGTGTATATACATGGATAGATGTGTGGCACAGAAGGATGAATACAGTTGTGGAAATGGCTCTAGAAACATCAGGGCACAGCCTAAATTCTAATGCTGTAACATATTTCCCATGTTCCTCCTGACACTACCCCTCCCCACCCTACTCTCCACACCACTATTAAGGCTCCTTCGGATCCAGTCAGGCCACAGTCCAGCTTTAATGCTTTGGCCAGGAGCACAAGGCCGCCCCTTCTTCATCTCTCTCCCAGCAGGGACCAGAGGCTCCTGGGCTTCCCTCTCCCACCGTGCCCTATGAGACCCATACTTTTCACCTCTGTTTGCAGTACCAGCTCACTGCCAGCCCTTTCCTTCTGGGATGAATGCTCCTAAGACTTAGAAGCTAACCCAAGTCACAGGGCTCAGAAAACCTATGAGCCTGATTGCTGGGGGAAAGGAGACTCTGGTATAGCTGCTGCAAATCGTGCTGGACCTCCAGGGATGTGGCTTATATGAATCACCGCCCATGCTGGGATGGGATTTTCAATGGTGCAGCTTCCTCAGTCACCCATTGCTTTTATAAGTAACCCTTCATACCTGCTCATGTAAGGAGCCCCAGCAACTCCATTGTTTAATACTCTAGACTTTGATACATTTGTTTCTTTTGTCTGTCCTTAGTGCCCTGTCTAGGGTAAACAGACATTTGATCTTGTATCCCCAGGAAAAGTCTCACAACCCTGCTTCCCTCTCCCACTCACCCCCAGAACCCCTGTTCCATGACAACTGCCTCCCCCTCCGCTGGGCTTCTTCTGACCTGGAACACGATGACTGATACCCACTCCTCATTGCAAACAAAGTTCTTTGCTGGTGCCTTTGTGAACAATTGTGTATTCTTTTAATTTTTTCTTTAGGTCCAATGCATAGAGCTTACCAAATACTACAGGATCAATAAAATGTGTATTAATGAATAAATGAAATTTAAAAAGTGGAATACTATGATTTTTCTAGAAAGCAAATTCAACTCAACAGAACTAATTTCTGCTGCTGATCCCTGTGGAGAAGGGAAGGTGATCTAACACCTCAGCCCACACTTGGAAGTTAGAAACAACAGAACTCACGCATTAAAAAGATGTTTCCTGACACTGTGTACAAGTTCCAAAACGAGGAAGGGAAAAGGCAAGACCTTCGTTATAGTGAGTAGTGTGTGCCAAGGACAGGTGAAGACACACACATAAGGGTGTTGGTGATAAGGTGTTTTCTGTGCATTCCCTAAGCTGTATTCCTTCCCCTGATTTATGGACCTCCCAGGGATGGGACCACTCCGGCACCCTAAATGGCAGCCTTCTTTAGCCAGACTTCATCCTGACGTCCTACACAAAGGTTTCAGGGCACAGTTGGGACTTCTTCCTGCTGGGTATGTCAAGAGGACAGGCAGCTTACTCTGTCCCCTCCCCATCAATCGGGAAACCTTTTAACTTATGATTGACTGGTTGAATTTTAATTAAAACTTTTTCACACTGAAATGTTAGCTAGAAGCTCAAGCCTGATAAATTTGGAATTAAAAGCTTTCTCCCTATTTAAATACATCTTCAGGCATCAGTAAGTAAATGAATAAATATTGGGGGAGAAGAATAGGAAGCCCCCTTGAAGTCACAGATCTCTGTGACTGGGCTGGAAGGCAATCTATTTTGTATTTTCATCTGTCTATGGGGATCCTGGAAGGTGGGGACAACTCCTACAATTCCTTCCTCCTCAAGATACTCCCCACTGCCCAGGAAGGACAATTCTCAACTGATTCTGAGAGGGCCGCTAGTTAGAATAACAGTAGTGCCCTTCCTACCTCTGTCTGTCCTCACAGGGGCTGCGGGGGCATGTGGTAAGTATTAAGATTCAGGACACCCAGAATGTGACTCTGAGGCCATTGCCTGTCCCTCCGTGGTGTCACTAGCTTCTTCCAGGACTGCTGTTCCCACACCACCCACTCCAACCTTCCTGGGAACACTGAGTGCTTATGTTGGGAATTCCCTCTGTGTTACTATGGGTAGATTTAGACATTTCTGCTTAACAGTTAATAATGTTTTATATCATGCTTCCTCGGCTGATCCGCTATTCTTAGATCCTCTCCTAGCCTTTGCCTCTAACACAGACTCTCTCTCTCTCTTGCTGGCAGTGTTCTCCCCGGAACACGTGAATTTGGGAAAATGGTTAATGCACGTGTGGATCTTATTCTCGGGTGTTAAACCTTTCCTTTAGGGCAAAAGCCCAACTAACGGCAATGGCCTTCTCACACAACTGCCATCCCGCATGTGTTTCAAGTATGATGTCACTTCTTGGCCACTGGGGACAGAGCACAGAACAAACATGTCACCACCATGGAACATGCCCTCTAAAGCAAGATATATGTTTTTAACAATGAACATAGGAGTACATGCTAAGGAAAAAAAAATTAGATTCAAGGAAGTGTAGCTTTGGATAAAGATTCTTATGTGGTCCAGGCAGACCTATTATTTTATCATGAACATCGGGAGACGCTTATACAGAACACAGCCTAAAGCCTTGACGTGCTAAACAAACAAATCCATCCCAATAGGAATGGTCAAACAAGACTGCCCCGCCACTCCCTGCAAAGATACTTCACTCCCGCGGGACAGACAGACAGACAGACACACCTTACCCTCACCATCCTCACTTTCTTCTGCCACAGCACAAGCTGAAACCACAAAGCAACTTAAGGCTGTCACCTGTGAATGGGGCACTTTGAGTCCTCGCGGGATGGTGACCGGGCAAGGCCGTGTCCTCTCTGATGCCAAACGGGGAAGGCACAGTCTCCGCAGCAGGACTTGCTGCCATGAGGGAGTCGAAGTCATCCTCTTCCTCTTCTCTGCCTTCCTCTTGCTTCTCGTCCTGGTTTGTAAGAATCAGGGGGTCAGACGTGGTGATGGTCTGGTCCATCAAGCCCTCGGGGCCAGAATCCAGTTCTTGGATGATCTTGTCGTACTGTGCAATGAGATCACTCTCTGTGTTGGCGGCCGGCAGGTCTGACTGGACTTCTGCTTCAGATGCGGGGACTATTGATTCCGAGTTTGAGTCCAAGCCTGCATCAGCGTCATGCTCTTGCGTGGCTTCAGAAAACACGCTCTGACATAGGTCTGAACTCTCCAGGCTGGGTTGTGGCTCTGCCTCAGGATCGGGGCTAAAGAGAGGTCCATTGCTCACAGGGGGACTCTGGTCTTCTTCGGGCTGGGCCTTGGGCTGGGCCTCGGCTGGTGGGTCGGCTGTGACCCCCTGTGGCTCGCTGGTGTCCTCCGAGTCCTTCTCTGCGCACAGCCTATACACCATCACATCATCCTGGAAGTCTGACTCTTCTATGTAGGACCCTTTGAAGAGGAGGATGGCGTTCTTCTTCATCTCTTGGATGTGTTTGGGGGGCTCCATGGGTGCTGGTGGAGCTGGAGTCTCCACCTCGTCATAAGGCCCAGGAGACCCCACGTCTGCCCCAGACGAGATACCGGTGTCATAGCTGTCGTCCCATTCCAGCTCCGACTGGTTCTTGTCCTTCACCTGCCCTGCTGTCCTGGTGTGCTGCTGAGGGAGTCTGGCCTCTGGGTGGGCTGAGCCTTCTCGGCTCTCCTCTGGCAGACTCTGCAGAAAGGTCTCAGGGTCAGGTGAGTCCCCATCATAGAGGGCTGACCACACTCTGCAGTCCCTCATACAGTGGAGGATGTTGGTGTGGGCCTCCCACAGGTACTGCAGGTAGCTGATGTCCAGGGTCTTCCCGTACTCCACAATGCAGGCTGCCGGGGCAGGAGGGGAAAGTGGGGTGGTTGGAGAAGGTGGGCAGGGTGCTTCTGGCAGCAGCTGTTCCTCGGGCCCTGTGTAGGATCAAACAGCCATCAGGAAGGGAGGTGGGGATGAGTTGGGGACTTGGTACCAGTTTAAGTCTAGCAATGGCTGGTTCAATTATTTCTGATAATAGAAACTGAATTAAGAGGGAGAGACAGCAACAGGCACACCACTCTCCCAGAAGACATAAAACCAAAATGGCCAGGTGCAGGCTGCAGCCAACAGAAAACGGTTAGGTAATCCTGTGAGGTAACTAGACAGCCTGAGAGGCCCACGTGGATGACCCTTCCCTCATGGTGGGCTTGGATCCCACCTCCCGTTTCCTGACAACACTAGAGAGGTAGTCACCAGCTTGTTCACTCCTCAGGTCTCCTGGTCAAAAATTCAAGTGCCTCTGATCCTGTGGAGACATAAAATTCTGTTCTGCTCCAGACATCAGAGCTTTACCTACTATTGTTTCCTCCCTTACGAGTTAACCTAGCTGGGCCTGTCAATCACCAGGCCTGTCAATCACCTGGTCTAGAGTCAGTCCTGCAGGAAAGCTGATTCACCTGAAGATGTGCTAAGAGGGTGGGAAGAATAATTATCCTCTAAAAGGGAAAATGCACCCACCCCTCCCCAAAGCTCCTCCCTCGTGCAGCCTCTTACACAGCCTCTGCTATGGGGCCTACCAGATTTTCTGAATTACTCAGAACTATTCCTTCTTTTCTATTTTTCTTTTGGATACTGGCCAAGAACCTAGGCCCACTTTCCCTGGCTCCCTAGGCTCCCTCTCTCTTCCTCTAGAGACCCCACCTCCAGCCACCCCTGTGCCAGCCACCCCTGTCCTCATCTACTGCAGAATCTGCCTGTTTGCTTGGACCCTAACATGAAGGGCATGAGGCACGGCCTCTCTCTTCCTCCTCCCAGCATCTATCTGCCAAGACTCACAGCTTGCCTGTCCTGGTGCTTCTCTCTCAAATGCTAATAAAATTGTCTTTGAGTTCCCTTTGATTCATTTCTAAATTCATGTATTGACAAAACTAGGAACTTGAAAGGAGGGAATCCTGACTTCCCTGGTGACAATGTCAGTCATCAGAGAAAACAGGAGCTGATGAGGGCCCCTTTCATGACCCAGGGGATGACAGGTGCCTGCCACAGGGTATGATAATTTTAAAGTGTTCTGATTTTGATAACAGAATGAAAGGCTGATGGCTTGTGAGTTTGAGAACCAGGTTTTCTGGGAGGAAAATTCCAGGTTTCTAGGAAAGGCAGTGAACCCACTGCACCTCATTGGCAACAATCAGGATGTTGGCGAATACCCAACGGTCTCCTGAAGCCAAGTGACAGCCAATCACAACAGTCATTTCAACCTGAGGCCTCGTGTGTTTAAAAGCAGCTGACTTCACGCTACAAGTTCCAAAATCAGCCCTGAAATAGTTGCGACTGCACTTACATTTGTGACTTCTCCACAAACAGAATGTCTAGAAAAGACTCGGACGTGGAGGGAAATATGTCGTGCACCGTGCTTTAAACATCTAGATACTGTAAGTGCTTTCACTGGCATGGATGCCAATGATCCTATATGATGGATACTGTTCCCCGCTTGCTGTGGCTGGGCCACAGACCCTCTCTACATCCTGGTGCCACATCTTTGTGAGCCCTGTGCCCCTCATAATGGAATCTCTACCAGACTGGCTCAGGCTTGAGTCTCTAGGAGTGTATACACAGTGCCATGAAACAGGCATCTCTCTGCCCACCGTTCTACTGCCAGAAGGTTAGTGTTGCTTCCCTGATAGGCTTTAAATAAAAAGACATCAAGCTACTCCTAGAAATATTCCCTGAGCAGTGGCTACGTGCCGGGCAAGCCTCCTACGAGCTCTGTGTGCCTGAACTCGCCTACCCTGGGAGCAGCAGTCTTTGGGGGGAGATTTGGCATGACTGCGAAATTTTCCCTAAAAGGTGGGAAAGCCAAGCTCAGAGTCCTAGCTGTTACCTCTGCGCAGGAACTCTGCCAGGTGGTATGTACCCTCTCCACTAGGACTCATGTCTGTGGTAACTTGAGAAGCAGGGTGTGGAGCAGACATGGAACACGGACATCAGAGAAGTTGCGCTTTACATAAGCCTGGACAAGTCAGTCCCTCTCTCTCCCTGAGTCTGTTTCTTCACCGCAAACGACAGCCTACTTCTTCTGCATCCTTAAAACGTGGCTGCCAGAGAAAGTGGCTGAAAAGTTTTGGAAAATCATCCTTAATCTGAATTTTGAATTTTGGAAATTAAAAGGCAGGTGTGTCTTGATTATAGACTCAACCCCTGTAACAACTCAACCCCATTTTGCTTTAGAAGACATGTTAATACATATTTTCACATTTGGACTCAAGGTACTGCTAAAAGGAGCATGTGAAATAAAAACCTGTGACAATGACGAGGTGAAGGCAGGTGCTTTGGTGAACACTAACACAGAATCTATAACTCCATATGAAGCAGGAAAAAACTCCAGCTACTCCTTGACTCCCCAGTTACTTGGCCTACCCAAAGAGACACATCATACCATCATACCAAGAGAGAGGCGTGTGGTATCACGTTTAAAGATCATTCCCAACACGTTCCCACCTGCGCCATCATGCGTGCACTTTGACCAGAGAATATAATCCCTTTCTTGGTTCCCAAGTGTCAGGGTGATGCCGCTGGCACAGCAGACGGGGGTCAAGGCAAGCAGCTTGGCCGCGGACATGGAGTAACAGTCTCTTTCCTTCACAGCCCACCTTTGGCTCAGCATCATGTGGTTGCACGGGATCAGATACCTGAAATGACAAAGATCTATCCTTCAGTGTCTCTGCAATGCCGTAAAACCATGGCACAAATGACACCATCAAACAGTCGGAACTAGTCATGAGCAGGGCAGATTCCCCTCCCACCCTCAGGCCGCCCGGCACACTAGACATTGGTCATTCACTCTCTTGCTTAAAAGCCTTCTAAGGGTTTCTTCCTTCTGACAAAACTGTCTGACAGAACTCTCCAATACCAACTCATCTCCCTCTTTCTCCCTATGCCTTTAAACCCACCGCGACCTCCATCTGGAATGAGGCTTCCCTCTTCTCTGCTGACAGCTCCTTGTTGTGGAAGCGCCACATTCTCTGGGGGAGGCTTCCCGGTTCCTTACTCCAAGGGAGAGCCCTTCTCTCCCTCCATCGTGTGAACATGGGAGCATTATTAAGTTTGCATCACAAATGTCTCTAATCTACCTCCTCAATATGTGTGCTACCAGAGCAAGGACTGCTTCAACAGTTTGTCTTTCGATTCCTAAAACTCTGACTCATAGCACACACCAAGGGAAGGTGGCAAACCCTACCACAGGTTCTGCTCCCTCTCCCTGACAGGAGGGAAGTGGTACCCAGAGCTCAGTGGGGAGCCCTGGTTCCCCGTGCGAAGGTCGGCTGGCGGCTGAAAACATCTTAGTGTGCATATGAACTTGGAGAAGATCCGATTAACTGTCAGATGCACCTGAGCACGTGACTGAGCTCTGCGGGCAAAAGGGGTGGCTTCGGTGGCTGCCCGTTCTAATGGGGAAACACCACACCAGTCATTTCAGCAAGGATGGACCAAGTGGGTTGAAGGACCTGAAGCCGGAGATAATTTTACAGTAGCCTGAGTCTGTTGTGCAATGTTTTACTCTTGGCTTTTGGGTGGCCCATCACCCAGCTCCAAACTAAATCACACGCGGAGGCGTGTTCTTAGTTACAAACACCTGGCCTTAGTTTGGCTTGTTTCTTGCCAGCTTTTCTTAACTAATTATCCCAACTCTTTCCTTTCTTTACTTTTGTATATCTTACTCTGTCGCTGGCTGAGTGGCTGGGTGGCTGGTCTTTGATATCCTCCTTCCCTGTTCTCTCGTTGGTCTTCTTTTCCTTGTTTCTCCTTCTGTGCATCCTCTGTCTGCCAGCCCCACCTATCCTTGCTCCTGCCTGGCTATTCAGCTCTTTGTTTGACCACTACGTGTTTTAGTCAGGCAAAGAGTCACAGCTTCACAGAGTCAAACAAACAGCATAAACAAAAGCAACACACTTAAAAATAATATTCCCCGACATAAGCCCCCATCTGAGCAGCCACAACCTTTCAGTAAACCAAAAGGTTTTCGACTTCCCACTTCACTCCTGACAAAGAGGCAGGACAGAGGAAAACAAGCTGTGACTAAGGGTCCCGTGGAAAAGATGAGGCGCACAACCCCCAGGGTGTGGCGAGGGACCTATAACCATGGACTGGCTCCCACATCTCCCGCTGATCCCAATAGAGAAACCTGTTTGTTCTAATGGCCCATCTGCACGGAGCCCGAGTCAAGGAGAGAAACATTCAATCCCCTCGATCCACTCTAAGTGGTCACTTCAAGAGCACTCTCTGGGTCTGAAACACACACTTGCCGCTCTCCCCGAATCAAACCATTTCTTGAGTACTTTAAATTCCTAGTGTAGCTCAGTAAGAGAGTCTCATCTCTTTCCTCGCTCCCTCCACCCTCATGGGAACACACACTGCTGTTTCTAAGAGCCAGACCTCTGGTGTGGCAGCATCTGCTTTCCTAAGCCATTTCTTAAAAGCAACAAGGAGAAAGAGGAGCAGGGTGGGAAGGAAGTACCGGGAAGAAGATGGATTCGTCCATACTCCTTGGAGACCTGTGTCTGAGCCTTACAGGAGGAAGGATGGGTGGTGCAGGTGGAAAATATGAACATCCTTTCTCAAAGGGGCTCTGTGAACTGATATGTCTTAGTAATCGGGGTGACGAGAGACATTTCCCCCCTGTCTAAACATAGCCCAGCTGGAACTCAGTGAGCATCACAGGTAATCCGGCTGCCCCAGCTCCTCAGGGCAATTGAGGATGGATGACTAGGGGCAGCTGGGTGAGGAGGAAAGCAGGGGAAGGCAGGCACAGCCAGCCAGCAGCTGGGTATAAGGGAACTAAGGCAGCACCCAGAAAAAGGGTCAGAGCAGGGGAAGCTACCACAGCAGACACCATGTGATAACGGCGGGAGAAAGACATGTCCGTGAATGTTCATAAGAGCTCTCGCTTGACGAGGTAATGGTTGCTGTTTCCCAGAGGGCCAAGGTCTGATATGAAGTGCAAGGATGGATGGAGGCAGGAAAAAGTATCCCACAGCGCTGATGTGAACGACTCTTCTCCAGGCCAGAAAGGTCTACAGCAATGCAGCTTACAGGGGACTTACTGTATGTGCACTCGGTTCATTAATTATTCATAGAATCAACAGTGTTTTCACAGACTGCACGAACTCAATGCCTCTTTGCAGCTCAGACCAGTCATATTTCATGACTTAAACTAATAAACATGCTTCTGCTCTTTGTTTGAAGTATTTAAAAAAAAATGGAACAGTGGATCAAAGCTAACACGGCTATTTATCAAATACCACCCAGCGAATACCTCGAAATTCTTTTTAGAAGAGTTGACAATGTACAACTTCAAAAAGACCTGTTCTCAGCAGAAGCTGAGAATGTTCTCTTGAATGAATCCAGTGGAGGGAGGTCCCCGTTGGGTAAAGCAGAGGAGTGGAAATGGGGACAGACACCCCTATGAACAACCCCTCAAGGGTTCCCAGCACTGTTGTTCTGACAAATTTTTAAATTGAGGGTAAGGAGACACAGGTAATCCAGCTGCCCCAGCTCCTCAGGGCAATCGAGGGTGGGACGATTGGGCCCTTCCATCTTTTTAAGACAATGATTGGGATCAGAATATATGCTAAACGCTTCTCAAATGATACATAGCAAGATCATGTGGTTGTTGCTAACAGAAAAATCATGTAAGCATTTAGTATAGGAATTTTTTATTAAACCATCTTTTGACTACATGGTACATAATCTTGTTTGGAGATTTTATTCAAATTCAGAAGTAATAATTACAGATCTGTGTGTGTGTTAATTGACTAACTGAAATGCTATGTTTTCATCTCCCCCCAGCTTCCCGAGTCCTGGGATTGCTGGCAGGTCTACACCACTACACGCAGCTCACAGGTTAAGAAATCCTGTCTTTAAATGTTCAGATTATGTCATTTCCCAATATACCAGGAATGAAAAATGCTGTCTATATTACATTTACACACACGTTTTCATTACTTCCTCAACCCTCTACAACCTTTCACCAAAAACAGTGACCTAAAGTTTGGAAGACGCGGGAGTCTTCTTACCTTTGAATTAAAGGTAAGTGGAGTGGAAGGAAGCATCAGGGGGAGATAGGATCAAAATACATCATGTACACATACGATATTCGCAATGGACACATATTTAAGACGTAAACCACTACCCAAAGCAGTCAGTGACTAAGCAGTGGTGACGAAGACACACACTGCTCTACTGCCTATGAGAAGCCAAGACGATGAGCTGAAGCAGGTTCCCATAGACAAAGAATTTACAATGGTGATCAATGAGCCTCAAAAGAGCCTAACTGCTCACCAAAGTCTGGCCATGTTTCTCCTCCCCACCTCTCCCTGCTCTGGCTACCCAGCTCTGCACTGACCCCCAACTCCTCTGCAAGATTGAAGTGTTCCTGAAATGTACACAGACTATCTTCAACTTGATGGAGGTGGGTCTTGTAATAATAAAGAAACTGCCTCGGCCCTCATAGGACAGAAAATTAGGTGGGTGGAGAAAACAGAAGAGAATTCTGGGAGAAAGAAGCTTAGTGAGTGAGTCGCCATGATGCTCCCACTCCAGACAGATGCAGGTTAAGATCCTCTCTGGTAAGCCAGCTCATGGGCTACACAGAATATTAGAAATGGGTTAGAACAATATGTAAGAGCTAGCCAATAAGAAACTGGACCTAGCCGGGCCAGGCAGTGTTTGAAAGAATACAGTTTCCGTGTAATTATTTCGGGCATAAGCTAGCCATGCGGGCGGCCGGGTGCCGGGGACGCAGCCCCGCCGCTCCTATTTCAACATCAACTAAAACTGCTCTTATCTGGACACACCAGGCAATGGGGTTCACAAACCTGATTTAAAACAAAACAAAAATCCCCTAATAGGAACATTCAGAAATGTTCAAACCAAGGTATAAGCATTGATTTTCACAGAACTGGGAAGTTCCCGGAGCACAGGGGTCTGTTGAGCCACTACCTGTTAGTACTTCCTGTCTGCCCTTGGACTCCACAGTTGCACACACAGGAAGTGGACAATTTGTCCTGGGTTTTCTGCTCACTGAACTATCCTCTCTCTGGGAATCTCTCATTTCAATTTACCCTTCTGACTCTTTGCCAAAGGAGAAACACGGATGGTTAAGAACAGAATACTACTTTGAAGAATCAATATTTAAGAGCACTCGAGTTACAGCGGATAGAGAGATGCTGATTTATTCCCATATAACAATGTCTTCAGGAGGTCCACACAGCCTGCGAGGCCGCATGGACTCTCAGGCCTCCCAGTTTATCATGCACAAACAACTGCACAGCAGGCAAAAGTGAAAGTGGAGATTACAATCTATTTTTACATCCTCTGAAAGTTTAAATGACTAGACAAATAAGATTTTTTGTTTCCTTGCTTCAGGGACAGATTCTAAATCAGAAAGACATTATTTTTTATGAGTTTAACATATATTTTCTAGAAAGTCACCATCCATTAGTTGTAGACAAGACCCTGCATTCTTTCTAAATGCTTTCATGGGTGTCTCCACAATGTGTCCTGTCAAAAATCCTAGGAGGCATCATGTTCCAGAAGTGGGGCAAGTAAACCTGCAGGCTCAGGGGGAGGGGCGGGAGCCAGGGGTCTCCTGCACAGGCCCTCGGGTCCTCTGGAATTCCAGGAAGTAGAGCTGGGAATGGAGGAGGTGCTTAGAAAAGAGCAATTGTGTTACTGTGTTAGCACCACCATCCTCGTGGGGAAAAAAAGCCAGCCAGAGAACCCAGGGCCAGCTGGCCAAGTTGTCTCTAACCTCAAGTCTGGCATCTCTCCCTTCTTCCATTCAGAACTAGTAACAGCATCATGTCCTGCAGGCACCTTCTGGGAGGTCACAGAAATGACTAGACCTGACTTGGACATGTGTACATTCAAACACAAGCTCATTTCTCTCGTCATAAGGTCCAGGTCCGGCTCTCAGACACAACCATGTGTAACACCATTGCTGAGTACATATTTGAATACTGTGAGCAGAAAGTGGTCAGGGCTCCTCTTGTAAAGGTCACCAGCAAGCCAACCTGTCACTCCAGCCTGGCCAGACCTTGGTGACCCACAGTGGGGAAGCGATGGAACTCAGACCTGGCCAGGGACACTGCCATTTCAGGGACACGGCAAACACAGCTGTTTTCCCTGCCATCAACGAAGCAGCATTTAGGAATTTAACATTCAAATGCAATCAAGGCTTTGCCCACCTTGAGTAAGAGCATGGTTCTGAGCAATAAAGAAAAAAAATGCTTTGCCAAGTTGTTCTGCTGGATTTCATTCAGGCCCTGCTAATGCATTCTGTCTGATGGTAGAGACTTGCTGGGGAGCTGAAGTAATCCTTTTAAAACAGACTACCAGCTGTGTCCTTATGATCGGATTTGTTCTCTGCTAATGCCTTAAGATTAGTTACTGATGACCTGATTTAAACCCTAAAAGTTCAAAAACACTGTTTTACTTTAAAATCTTATAAATGATAGTCTCCCATAAAGCAACAATCTGTCAGGCCCTCCAGAGGGTGCCACCTAGTTTTTCAAGACTCAGTTTTAATTCCCCTTTTGTAGGATGCTATACTCACAACAACCATCTCTCCAGCCAGTGATGGTCCAACTCAGGTGGTACACCGGGCCCCTCCACAGCCCTCTGTCCCTCTGTCCCTCCGTCACTCCTTCCCTCCCTCTCTCTCTCCCTCTCTCTCTCCCTCCCTCCCTCCTTCCCTCCCTCCTTTCTGCCCACTTAAGAAAAGATGGTAGAGCAAATACAGCTCTACCAGAAGTTGATTTCTTTGCAGTTTTGGCCTATCCCTGCCTTACCCATACGGCTAGAGAGAGGGGCAGGAAAGGTTGCTCTAGCGGTGTTTCCTGCAGGGATCTCGGTTCTGTGGCTCCCTTTACACACCCTGCAGCTTGTGTCAGGGTGGGTCTCACTGGAGGAGTACATTACAGGATTTAGGGTTTGGGTTCAGAATAAAGGAGAAAAAAACAATGACCAGTGACTAGCCTGGTGCTTCTGGAACACTGTGTTGAGGATTCAGGACCAAGCCATATGTTACCAAGGAACACAGTCACTTTCCTGCATGGAAGCAGGGTCCCATGGGCAGGTGGAAAAGGGATAAGGCAGGGCTGGGGGCTGCTGAAGCTAATCACCACACTCACAGCATCTGAGCTTCCTCCAACAGCAGCATCCTCAGAGCTTCCCCCACAGCACCGGGCTGTGACTTTGCCATCCAGTCCTGAGCCCTGACCATGTGTTCTACGCTCACAGACTGGACAGTCACGTTGTATGTTACTAAAGAAAAGGCTGAAAACTATATCCAAGTGCTGTATATTTGAAAGAAAGTTGTTTTTTAATAACAAGGGTCCCTTAAGAGCGCAAATAACAAAGAGTAGCTCAGGAGAACAAAGTCCAGCCGTGACCCCAAAGAGTTTTCCAACATTCTTATTATTGTTTCCAGGAACACATTCATAACACAATACAAATGCCCCTACTAAAAACTTTTCATAATAAAACAAAATTAACTCTGGGTGATAACACCAAAAAAAATTAAATTGGCTTTCTTAATAATTTTCTGCCTTAGAGGCATGGTCCTTACTTCATTTACATTATCAAAGAGAAACAAAACAGTAAAGCTACAGAGGGAATGTCTTTAGTGAGAACAATCGACGGACACTCACCTTAAAACCAGCTGCAACATCACATCTTCACAGTGCAAACCAATGAGAGTTCGGAACAAGGCCAGGGACACCACACAAAGCTGGGGAGCAATGGACACAGTGAGTCTCAGATGTCAGGCTGGTGACTCCGCCCCCGACAGGTGACACATCAGAACCGCAGGACAAAATGGCCTCTCTACCCCAGCAGTTCCCATAAACCATACTTCACCGCCAGGAAAGATGCATTGAGAATATCAGCTCCCCCGATATCAGAGCGGGCTAGAAACGTAATGGCCGCCTGGGAAATGCCAGTGTTCATATTGTGAATCACAGATCCAGATGCTACAAATGCGCCCCTTCAACTCCTGACATCTGACACACACCATCTTCCCTAATTCCCCTTCAGACAATTTGGCTTTCTAAATTGTCTTCAAATCCAACACTGGTGATTTACAAAAGAAGGCTCGTAGGAAAGGGCCTAACACCTGATCAGCTCTCTTCAGAGGTTGGAGTTTAGGACTCCGTATCTCTCTTGGTGTTGAAGCAAATTTTTCTCTTTGGTTCTATTTCCTATAGTGCTCTGAGTGTGAAAATTTACTTCTTTAAGGAGTTCGCTCAAAAAAATAACTAATTTTTTTTTTACAAACACATGAATTCTTTCAACCTCTAATTGCTACAAGGAATGATGAAGTACCAAATAGGGGAGACACTCAATTATAAAAATCACTGCAGCTTCTGTGTCCCAAGCTGTTATCAATCTCCAAGGCCATTTAAGTAATTGAGACTCCTATTCTTTGTAGAGGAAAGCAAATGCTAGTTTGTCTTCTAGGCAGAGTGAACTTAGAGCCAACAAAAGATCTGTAAAGAAATAGCTGTATGTGACTGGCTGCAAACACCCCCTTTGCTCAGGATGGTGACAGACCTGTAGTTAGTCAGAAGCAACACAGCCTGTTCCCTTCCAAGTCAAGACACGTGCTACACCCTTAACTAGAACGCCTTTTCCTGCCTCCTCTGAGATTTAGCCTGGCATCACCTCTCCCTGGGAAACCTTTCTGTTCTCCCTCACAATACAGCACCCGACTCTTCCTTTTCTCAAATAGGTATCCTGCTTATCTATTGCCATGGTAACCCCTGTCAGTCTCTGTCAAGGCACTAGGCAGAGCATGTTACTTTCAACAACTGAGCTGCAGGAGTCCTTTATTCTATGCACAAGTATTTTATATGATCGACACGTCTCCAACCAATCTGTGGATTGTCCTTTCAATTTTTGTGGCATACACCTTTAGTCCCAGTGCTCAGGAGGCAGAGGAGGCAGGAGGATCTCTGAGTTCGAGGCCAGCCTGGTCTACAGAGTGAGTTTCGGGACAGCTGGGACTACACAGAGAAATCCTGTCTCAAAAAAATAAATAAAAAATAAATAAATGACCAAAAAATTGTGCTACTTCTTTGTTCTTTGAAAGTATTACTATCATGTATGTGTGCATGATGTGTGTGTGCACATATACCACTGTGCACATGTGGAGGTCACAGGACAGCTTGGTAGAGTCTCTTTATGTGTATTCTGTGGGTTGAACACAGGTCACCAGCTTTGCCCAGAGAGCCTTTACCCACCGATGAATTTAGATTCATCTTTGAAATGGGGTCTTGCTATGTAACCCAGGCTAGATTCCAACCTTTGAGACTCCTCCCTCAGTTTCCACAATGCTAGGACACAGGCTTACACTACCCAGTGCACTTGGTTTTCAGTTCTTAGATCCTCAGAACACTAAAGATCTCCATCTTGAATGTGTCCAGTTTGTCTAATGTTTCTTTGGTTGCTCGTGGTATTGGCAGCATGTCTTAGAAACCATTGCCAAGACTACAACGATTTTCTCTCAACTTCAAGTCTTTGATTCATTTTGGGCTAATGTTTATCACGTGAGGTAGGAATAAGTCTTCAAGTCTATGAGCGTACAAATGTCTTCCATACATATGTGTATGTGTGTTATTTCTGATACTATTGCAAATGTGACTGATATCTTAATCTGATTTTTAGATTGCACACTGAGAAGGTTAATGTTGATTGCCAAAGTGACAGAATCTAAAATCACCTGGGAGGTAGACCTCTGGGCATTCCTGTGGGGGTTATCTTAACAACCTTGAGTGATGTTGGAACACCCATTTTAATAGTGGGCCCCAACGTCCAGCCAGCCATCCCTCTGTGTCCCTGACTATGATGTGACTAGCTGCTTCAGTTGCTGCTGCCTGAGATCCCTACCAGGAAGGACTCTAGTCTGACATGTAAGCTACAGCAACCCTTGCCTCCTGTAAGTAGCTGTCTTTGTCAGAAAATTTTATCACAGCAACAGGAAATGAGGTATTAAAACACTCACTATTGTATAAAAATAAAGCAGATTTTTACATGAAATTATATTTTTGCAACCTTGTCAACCTCGTTATGGGTTCTAATAGTTCTTTTCAGCATATCCCTTAGATTTTTTTTGTTGATGGTTTTTTGTTTGTTTGTTTGATTTGCATATAAGATCGTGCTATCTAAAAAGCAAGCAGCTTTATAATTATCTGGGTCATTATTTGCTTAATTATATAAATGGGGGCATTCTTCTTAAATATTTAGCAGGCACACTCTTACCTTACTCCTTTTCTTCAGGGAACACTTTCACTGTTACATAACAGTTTCACTGTAACAGTTTCACTATGTAACAGTTTCACTATGTAACAGTTTCACTGTAACAGTTTCACTATGTAACAGTTTCACTGTTACATTTTAGTTCAGAGTTCACAGATAACCTAGCTCAGCTTCAGGAAGTCCCACTATTCCTGGTTCGCTGTGTCTGAGAACTATCATTCTTCTCTCTGTTTTTATAAGCTTGACTGTTTCTATGTATCTACCAAAAATACAATCAAGGAGTTTATGTTTTTGTTACTGGCTGTTAATATCTTTTTGCTCCTTACTGTAATATCTCCAAGGTTCATCCATAGTGTAGCATCTCAAAACAACGTATCCTTTCGCTTGTAATTTCTTGATCTTCTAGGTATTTATGAGTATGTTGTTTGAACTATGTATAATACATCTACCTATTTGTGGATTTCTCAAGTTTCTGTCGATGTTTTTAATTTAAACTTGCTGTAATCAGACAATACACATCGCATGGTTTCAGTCCTTTTAAACTCACTGAGCCCTGTTTGGTTTAGCTTGTGGAACTTGGTGCTATCAGGTAAATCATTCAATGAGATTTTTTTTCTAGTATAACACTTTAATTTCCTTAATTTTTTCACACTTTTTTTTTATTCAATTGGGACAAGGCCCTGCTATGTAGCTCAAGCTAGCCCCCCAGGTTTGCAAACTGTCTGCCTCTGTCTCTGAAGTACTACATTACAGACCTGTGCTACGGTGCCTGCCTCCTGGCTATTGTTTTTCCAGGAAAGTTATCAGATTCCATTCCAGACTCAAACTAAGTTAATTCAAACAAACTACAGGAATAGTATCCTATACGATTCTATTCTCCCTTCTCCCTCTCTTTGATATTATTTTTAAACATTTAACACACATACACTATAAACTCAAAGATAGACTGTTATTAGATTTTTATCTTTTACTTTTAAAACAATGGTTGCAATGAAATAAAGACAGTCTTTGAAGAAGGGCTGTGTGGGGGGGGGAGTGCTACTCTTAGTGTTGGATCTTTGAAGCTGAGTGGGCTCTAAATGTTAGAGTGAAAACCCAACTCCACAATTTTCCAGACTTTCACTTCAAAACACCACAGACAGAGATTTGCTACCTCTGGCCCTGGTCCTCCAGGTCCCTGGCTTTCCCTGCACCTAAGTCTTCACGTTCTCAGAATCTTGTTCCTTCAGAAGTGCATCCTGCCAGTTCCACAGAAGAAAGCATCAATATAGACAAATTGAGAAAACTGGGGGTGGGGGGTGACATAGTGTCCCCTCCCTAACAAAGGGACACCTAATAGGGAAAAACATTATCAAATTATCTCTACTCAAAAAGACGTAGAGTAACAGCTGCAGGACAAAGTGGAAAGGGAGGGAGGAAATATTCACAATTTCCTTCCCCAAACAGTTCCCTTTTGGAATCTGAGTTGAACCCATCCTTCCCCGGAAGCTCTCCTTACCCGAAAAGGGGTGTTGATTCGGCTGGTGAGCGTGTCCAGGATGTGGACGTTCTCATGCTGGTGCAATAGGATGAAACGGAGGAAGATCTCCAGGAGCGCTGGCTCCGAGATGCTGCGTAGGAAAAGGTCCAGGTATGCAGTTGTGGTCATGACCTCTTCCACCGTCACCTGGATCCAATGACAGAGTGAGCACAATCTACCAGAGACTCGCCCAACCCTGAGAGCTTAGCTGAAGCCAACAACATGACCATGGGACACAGCACCTGCCCTGAAGCTCAGGCCAGAACAGCAAAGCCAGGGAAGGCACCATATGCTCTGACAGTTCCAGTCAAATACGATTTAAACCCTATAAAAGTTTTAGTACATACTCGAAAACAGGGAGAAAGACTGTTAAAAGTATTTATATGGTTAATAAAGGAGTAATTAGAAAGTTTGGTATAATTTGTCTCATTATTAATCACCCAATAAACCTTTACTGGGAACCTCTATGTCCAAGGAGCTGTAAACACAACAACAGGGTATATGTTCAGCAAATTGAGCTCCAGAAAATTAAATGATAATGTCATAAATTGCAAAGGAGAGGTGCAGACATGGAGCGCTACAGATGTGCACTCAGATGTGTTTCTGGAGAGCAGCAAGCCAATATTTTTATAAATGGGTACTAGACATAAAACATTATTTATAAAGTGCTACAAAAACTTACTGCTAATAAAGTAATGGCAACTTTTTTTATATATATATAACACAAATTGAGATTCTCTACCTATGTGCTTTTCCTATTCAGGAAAACAATGCCAGTCTTTTGGTGAATCACAATTGAGTGACATCTTTCACAGAACAGCGGTAGAGGCCAGAGGTCAGTGTCAGGCATAACCCTTCATCATGCTAGCTCTTGTGGGATATCTTACTGAGCGTGGGACTCACTCCTTCCTCTAGGATGGCCAATAGCCCCTCAGGGATCTGCCCGTGTCTGCTACCCTCGCCATGGGTTTCAGAAGCACACTGCTACCTAGTGTTTCTACATGCATGGCCGGGATCTGAACCTGTGCCCTCACACTTGCATGCAGCGCTTCACTGACTGAGGCATGTCCTCGGCCCCTCAGCCTTAGACATATTAATACAAAGAGCTACTATATGCTCCCCTGTAGGTGGAGGCTGTTTGCTCATTCCCAGCTGCCCAGGCCCAAATAATTCACAGAAACTATATTAATTGCAACATTGCTTGGCCTATTAGCTTAGGCTTCTTATTAACTAACTCTCACATCTTAAATTAACCCATTCCTATTATTTTATATTTTACCATGAGGCTTGTGGTTTACCAGTAAGGTTCTGGGCCGTCTGTCTCCTTGGGCAGCTACAAGGCCTCTCCCTGACCCCACCTTCTTTTCTTCCTCTATCTCTTGGAATTCCTGCCTTGCTCCATTCTGTCCTGCCACAGGCCCCAAAGTAGCTTCTTTATTAACCAATGGTAATAAGATATATTCACAACATACAGAGGGAAAGCCCATATCACTTCCCCTTTTCCATCCAAATAAAAAGGAAGGTTTTAACTTTAAATGGCAAGATTGCATACAACAAAACAGTTGTCAAACAAGAATTATAGTTACAATGTTTAGTCCATTTACATTTGGCAAATTAAGGAAAATACTCTATCATCTACCCTACATTTGTGAGTCTAAAGTTTTACATCTAATTTATCTTTTATCATAACTAAGGAAACATATAACTATCTGTTCTTCAACTCCATCAAAGACCCCAGAAGGATACAATATTACCTCAGTTAACAGGAAGTGCACTGTAAGCAACTTCCAAAACTCCAGAATTGACAGAGACACTCCCCCTTCTCCTAAAAGCAGAAGGCAGCAGCTGATCTTTCTATCTAGAGGCTATCACCAGGCTGGGCACAGAAGCGTCCACTCTTGGGTGCACAGAAGTCACCAAATGCACAGTCCAAGCTGTGGAGTTCCAACACCACACCCTGCAAACACCCCACCCCGCCCAACAGAGTTCATTCTAAATGAAGCAGACGGCGATGCTTTCTGAATGAGAGTGTCTCCTCTTTTCCATTTCTGCCTTATTTCTCCCTCCCTTTACAAGTGCTCACTGTCACGTTAATCATACCATTACCAAGGCCATTCTTTTTATACTTCATTCCTCCTCTTCTTTGAACTTTCAGCTTAAAAACCCACAGATGAGTTTAGAAACCAGATGTCCAGAGCTTCGAGACGAGTGTAGACAGGCCATGAATGGCTGCATCTGCGAATAAAGCCTTCACGCTGTCTATTTTGGTGGTTTGAATTATTTTTTATAAGTTCTTGGTGCTCAGCTGTGCTCTGGATAGATGAGTCCAGGTGGGTAAAATATCACAAAATCAGCTGTCTCCTTTCTTATTCTAATAAATAATGGACTTTATTACCATAAAGTCCATTTGAATTCACTCTCTCAGAATCCACTGAAACCTCCACATGGCGTGCTGAGTGACAGGGGACATTGCTGCAGTGCAAACAGCCTCCCCCAGCTCGGCAGCCACAGTGTGAGCATGCAAGCGTTCAGACCTCTTGAAGCCTACTTTAAAGGGTGCTCTGTAGCCCAGATAGAGTAAAGGAAGCGGGAGCAGGAAATCATCAACACTGGGCAAATGACAGACATAGGGAAAAGTGCATCTCCCAAGCCGCCTGCTTCTGCAGCCAGCTGCTCTAGCCTGCGCTTTCTGCAGCTCTCGAGTGGGGCTTGCATGGGACATGTCTCATCCTACTGCAGCATGCAAAGCTGAACATATAGAGGACCTCCTCAGGGGTGAGGCATTGTCCCTCCACGATCCAGAAACTGATATCTGCCAGAGTTGAGCACTGCCCAATTCTTCCAAATACTCTATGCCACGTCACATACCACCAACTACTCAGCACATAAGTATGAAATTACTCTATGTTTGGATTGTATTGTGTTAGAATGTTCACTTGCAAACACTGCTATTGGAGTTGTTAACTTGAGCTTCACAGAAAAGTTGTCAAATGAATTTTTAATTAGGCTAGGTCAGGATTTCGGACAATTTTTGAAATGATCCTAAATCATACTACTACTTTGTACTAAGCATTCATGTGATTTGATAGCCTCAGCACTGACAATTGCAAAATCTAAGCCTCAATCAAATCTGGAGAAACACTGAAAATGTCCCACATTCTGCAGCATCAAATATTCAGTCAAGAATTAATTTGATTTCATCTAAATAGTAGAATTATAAGTGTAATAAATAATTGTTTTAAAATAAATTCGTGAGTTATTACTACAAACCTGTAATTTACATATCTGTTTTATATGCCTACTGTGGTGAAATGTGAGGTGTTCCTCACAGACCTGTAGGTTTGCACATTTGATCTGCTGCTCAGCAGGCGGAGCCTCACTGCGGCGTCACAGATGGAGGCTGTGGAGGTATAGAACCCAGTCCTGACTCCTGCCTCTCTCTGTCTTTCTGCAGACACCGTGTGACTTTCCCTCTTTCCCTGACGCTCCTTTCCCGCCATGGTGGGCAGTGTTCCTTCCTAAACGATAAGCCAAACCAAAGCCTTCTTTCTTCTGATTGCTTCTTGTTGGATATCCAGTTATGGCAATGAGAATAGTAAATAATACACCTGTATACCCAGGATCAGGTAAACATCTCAGGCAAAAGGACTTCCAACTAGGAAAAAAACCTAAGAAGCCTTGCTCTACCTGTGCCCTGGAAGCTCTTCCTTCCTCTTTGTTCTCTCTGTCTCTGTCTCTGTTTCTCTCTCTTGCATGTGTGTACTCTGTCAATAAAATTTTACTCAAGCCTCCCCATGCTAGCAACATCCACTGTGCTACATTTTCATCCCTTAGCTTCTGACATAGCCCTCCCTGTGTAGACCAGGCTAAACTCTTAACTAATAATCCTTCTGCCTCAGTCTTCAGAGCTACCACACCTGGGTGTAGGTATATTTTTAATGAAGGGTTCAAAAATAATTAACACCACTAGACACAGCTAAACAGGGAATGGTGCTCAACCATAAACAATTATTCATCCACTTGACTGCAATGTTGGGATCACTTGGTGGAAATCTCGACCAAAATGATCAAGGCAAGAAAATGTAAATAGAAAACAGTAGAGAAATTGAATCATTCCAAATGGGCTGGAAGTTAGATTCCTTGACGCTAAGGTTCTAACTTTACCCGGCACTGCTGAACTGACATGACATGAGACTCCCAGAAGCTGCTTTGCAGCTGGTAGCACAACATCAGTTTGCCCCACTGGGTTACACGTGACCTTCATAAGCTCAAAAGCCGAGCAATCAACTTGCTAGAATCCAAGTCTGTCCTCAGGGGCCAACATGAAAGGGGGGCATTGAGCAGCTATTGTTTACTACTCTTAGGCTGGATAAATGAAAAGATTTTATTTCTTTTTAGAAATCAAAGCTGTCATTAGTAAGCTAAGAGGATTTAAGGAAGCACTTGGGGGGCAGCATTTACATAACATGCTATAAATATTCAAAATCCCATCCCATTAAATATCAGGTTGCAAACTCTTTACAGATTGAGGTCACACTTACCTTAAACTAATACCCTAACCAGGGAAACCCAGTTGCTTCTCCTTCCACCTCTTCTCCCCACCATATCTTTCAGAGCCTTTTATCCCAGAAAATCTTTTCCTGCCCCATTATCGTACTTTCAGAAACTTCTTCTAATCCTCCCAAGTAGGCAACGTCCTTAATGAGGATAAGACGAAGAGCTGAAGTGTGATCACTTGAAAGCTAACGATAACCACAGAGGAGAGACGCTCAGTCTGAGGAATGCAAAGTGGAGCCTTCTGCCAGCACCCAGAGCAGCGTTGGCAAAACACAGAAGCTACAAAGTAACTATTCAATGATGGAGGACAATGAACTGCAACATGAGGACCTTTGTCTCATAAGGTTGCCAGTATCTACCTTGTTCTATAAAGAATGGCAAGCAGCTACCAGCTTACATGAAAATAGCCAGCTATACAAATTAATTTGTCACTCAAATTAACAATGTCTACACATTGTAGCAGCTTTAGAATGTTATTTCAAATTAAGGGTGGACCCTAATGACTGAAGCAGAACAGGGAAAATTCAAAATCCACCTACTTCCAAACTTACCCTTGATAAGATAAAGACAGCTATAAACCCCTAGGCACC